TAAAGTTTTGTTTGATGCAATTTATTGCAAACAACATAAACTCCTAATTTTGGTACAATGAACCAAAATGAGGGCTTTGAATCAATATTCATGTTTTGAAACCTTGATAATATTAGGGGTTCAAGAACCCGAATTAGGTCTTTAAAAGAATCTACATGAGAAATAATATTAGGAATATTAAAGGTTCCACCCTCAGTGAGGTCATAAGCTCCCATATCTTTTCTCACTACTTCCAACTATGTTTTTTTGACCCTACCCCTTACCATTTTTTAGCTTTACAGGTGTTCTACTAAGTATACGCTCCACATGGGCAGCCTACTTAAGTCCACTCTCTCTCATCTTGTTATATATTTGTACTATACCTAAATTCTCCTTAATATATTAATTTTGAATTCTATCCCTTCTTGTCTTGGCACTCATCCATCTCAATTACACTCATTCTATAGGTATGTTATTTCTTGTTCGCCTAACAATCTGCCTCATAAATCAAAATTGGTCTTAGATTGTTCTATAGACCATTTAGCTTCATTAGCATGCACGATTACATAAAACTCCGATTGCATATTTCCAATCCACCCACCCAGCTCTAATTCTATGTGCGACATCTTTTTCATCTCTCAATTTTCTTAAAGTATTAACCCAAGATATCGTAAAGTGCGTTTTTTTTTTTTTGGTATTTCTTCACTTTCAATCTTAATTACTCCAGCATCTCTGCGGCAATTATTACTAAACTTACATTCCATAAACTCTATCTTAGTTTGGCCAATTTTAAAATCTTTAGATTCTAGAGCATCCCTCTAAAGTTCTAACTTTGTGTTGACGCCATTTCGGGTCTTATCAATAAAAACTATATTGTCCACGATCAACACGTACCACTTTACTTCATATTGTAGGTGCCTAGTTAACACAACTAAGACAAAGAGGTATGGGCTCAATGGTAATCCCTGATGTAAATCTCTTGTTACTGAAAACTTACTCTTCTCTATACTAGTTGTTCGTACACTAGCTATGCTCCCTCAAACATATATCTCATAAAGTCTTTGTCGTGTCTGGTGACATATTTCTTCTCCAATACCCCCCAAATCATTGAGATACTATATTATATGCTTTCTCTATATCAATAAAGGCTATATGGAGGTATTTTCTCTTCACCCTAAACTTCTCCATTAGTTGCTTAAGTAGGAAAATAGTCTCAGTTATTGACCTCCTTGGTATAAAACCAAGTTGATTTTTTGATACAATCGTTTTATACCTTAGTCGTTGCTCAATCTCTCTCTCGCATAGCTTTATAATGTTGCTAATAAGTTTGATTCATTGATAGTTCGCACAATTTTGTATCTCTTATGTTTTTATAAATAGGTACCATAATAGTTTTTTCTCCATTTATCTGGCATTTTCCATGAATGTGGAATTTTAAGATAGTTTCTCACTCTATAATCTCTCTAAAATTTCAAGATGCTCTCTCTCTAAAACTTAAAATTTGAGACAGTTTCTTTTTCTAAAATTTTGAAATGATTTCTCTATCTAAAATTTGATATAATTTATCTCTAAAATTTTAATGTACTTTGTCTCTAAAACTTAAAATTTGATATAGTTTCTCTCTCTAATTTTTTTGAAATAGTACGTAGTTTATCTCTCTAAAATTCCATAGTGTCTATCTCTAAGATTTTAATATAGATTCTCTCTTTAAAATTTAAACTTTGAGATAGTTTCTCTCCCTAAAAAATTTGATATATTTATCTCTAAATTTTTTTCATGTAGTTTCTCTATCTAAAATTTTAAGATACTTTATCTATCTAAAACTTAAGATTTGAGATAGTTTCTGTCTATAAAAATTTTGAGTACTTTCTATCTCTAAATATTTTCAGGTACTTTATCTAAAATTTGAAATATTTCTTCTCTCAAAATTTTAAGATGCTCTCTATCTAAAAATTTGAGCTCTCTTTGAAAGTTTTCAAGTACGTTCTCTCTCTAAAATTTGATATAGTTTATTTCTAAAATTTTAATATGCTTTCTTTCTCTAAAACTTAAATTGAGATAATTTCTCTCTCTAAAAATTGTTGAGACAGTTATCCCTCTAAAATGTTTTAGGTACTTTTACTCTCTAAAAATTGATATAGTTTCTCTTTCTAAAATTTTAGTATACTTTCTCTATCTAAAACTTAAAATTTAAAATAGTTTCTCTCTCTAAAAATTTTGAGATAGCTTCTCTCTTTAAAAATTTTCAAGTACTTTCTCTCTCTAAAATTTGATGTAGTTACTCTCTCTAAAATTTTAGGATGCGTTCTCTCTTTAAAACTTAAAATTTGAGATAGTTTCTTTCTAAAATTTTGAGATAGTTTAGCTCCCTAACATTTTATATATTTTTTATCTCTAAAAATTTTAATATACTTTCTCTCCCTCAAGCTTAAAATTTGATATAGTTGATCTCTAAAATTTTGATATAGTTTGTCTCTTTAAAAATTTCAAGTATTTTTTCAATGAGTAATGATCTTATAGGACCTTCCCCCACCTATGTGTGTAGGACCTTAAAGGATCACCATTAAAGTCGACACGTATCTTTAGAAAAGTTATCACATGGGTGTGAAACTTGACTTTTTTATAGATCCGTGCCAAATTTAATGGTGATCATTTGGGGTCCTACACATATGGGTGGGGGAGGGTCCTATAGGATCATTTTTCTTTTTCAATTTAGAATTGATACAGTTTATCTCTTTAAAAATTTAAAATACCTTTTCTCTCTAAAATTTAAAATTTGAGATAATTTCTCTCTCTAAAAATTTTGTGATAGTTTTCATCTTTAAAATTATAAGACAGTTTATCTCTCTAGAATTTGATATAATTTCTAGCTTTAAAGTTTTAATAAACTTTCTCTTTCTAAAACTTAAAATTTGAGATAATTTCTCTCACTAAAAGTTTGAGATATTTTTCAGTCCAAAATTTTTCAAGAAGTTTCTCTCTTTAAAATTTTAAATTATTTTCTCTATCTAAAGCTTAAGATTTGAGATAGTCTCTATGGATAAAAATTTTGAGATAGTTTCTATCTCTAAAAATTTTCAGATACTTTCTCTAAAGGGAAAGGCTTTTATACTTCCCCTACAGCATAGAAGATCTATGCTTCCCCTACCATCCAGCCATCCAATTTTGATCAAGAGAACCACTCACTGTTTGATCTTAGATCCGACGTCTCAAAGTATTTTATTTTTAGTTTTTTTTATACAAATTATATGGATATGAAATTTGGTACATGCCATCTTCTTATTGAGGCGCACCTATAAAAAATATTAAAAATAATTTCTCGATGAAATATAATGATCAAAATACTCCTTGAAGCTTTCAGGGGTATTTTGGTTATTTTATTTTATTGGAAATAAATTTTTTATATTTTTTGTTAGTGTGAGTTTATAGAAGATTGGATGTCCAAAATTTGGTGTCAAAATAGTCTATAGAAAAGAAATTAAAAATAAATAAGTGTAGAGATGTGACATTGTGATTGGGGCAATCTTAATCCTCCATTGAAAATGGAGGGTTGGCTAAAGGGAAGTATATAAGTTTTATGTTGCAGCAGAAGCATGGATGTTAGTAGTGTAATTAGATGCTGGCCTTGCTCTTACTCATCTGCACAAAATGAGAAAGTCAATAAGTTCCATGTTGAAAGAAATAAGATCGGAAAATTAGGAAAGCCTTGTGATAGACTATTTAGAAATATGGGTGTCATTTCTTTGAAATTATTCATGAACTTTAATGGTTTGCATTTTAAAGATTATTTTTGGTCTTGTGAATCTTATTTTACAGCCCATATTCTGTCATTCTTCTGCTTATTTTTATTTTTTTAATGGGAATGTCAAATTAAAAAAGTTTTTGTTAATTTGGAAGACATTTTTATATAACCCTTGCTTGTTGCGTGTATTTTATATTATTCTTCATCTCATATTATTTCCAATAATTAACAATGCTTATTTACTGTGACTCAATATTATCATTTTGACTATTTTAGCCTTGACCCAACTCTTTAAGTCTTAGACCAGTGTATTTTTTACTTAGCCAGCTCTGAGCATCATATAAGGTCTGGGGGGAGGGGAGGGTACATGGATGACTTACTATTCATTTATGGCACGTTTGGTTCGTGCATAAATGTTCTTAGGAAAGCATTTTTACGTGAAAATACTCGGCCGCTCCTTGACCCGAAACTGAGGGCACGTTTGGTATTTGCATCAACACATTTTCATGTGAAAATTATATTAGGCTCGTTTGATATGCGACAAAAACAAAAAAGAGAAAAACTACCTGGAAATTTTAAAGAGAAACTCTCTCACAATTTTAGAGAGAGAAACTATCTCAAATTTTAGAGAGAGTGAGTATATTAACATTTTAGAGAGAAATTTTATCGAATTTTAGAAAAAGGAAGTACTTAAAAATTTTTTAGAGAGATAAATTATCTCAAAATTTTTAGAGAGAGCAATTATCTCAAATTTTAAATTTTAGATAGAGAAAGCATATTAAAATTTGACAGAAAAACTATATCAAGTTTTTTAGAGAGAAAGAAGATGAAAATTTTTTGAGAGAGAGAGTATATCAAATTTTTATAGAAAAACTATATCAAATTTAAAGTTTTAAAGAGATAGCATCTTAAAATTTTAGAAACTGAAACCATATCAAATTTTAGAGAAGGGCAAATTTGAAGATGTCATCTTTGCAAAGATTTCAACATTCACGCTACTTTACAAATACTAAAATAGCAGAAAGAACAACAAAACAAGTCCACTTTTTTCAACAATTTTGCTTTATATGTGAACATATGCCACATGTTCATCGCTAGCCTGTGCTACACATTCCATACATCTTCGTAAAGGTGTATGCTAATGTTTGGACACCCTCCTATCAATATGTGGTCTCCATTGATAAAAATTGTCTTTGAAATTGAAAATTTTACAATCCAAATGCCGTAGTACCAAAAACATGACCCTATTTAAACCATTCATCAAGCATTGAAATGGTCATGTGTAACAAAAGTCAAGTCATGCCATAAAATCATAAAAGCAGTCAAAACACTCGTTGTCTCTTAATGACATCCATGTACTTCAGGACACAACAAAATACAATTTATGCCACCAATAGTCACAACCAACCTCCTATAATGGAAAACTAGAAGAAGAAAAGAACCTCAGCCTCCGAGGCATTCGAAGATTTTTGTTTCTCGATTCTTTGTCGGAAAAACAATCTGTATGCATTATCATATGCACTAGATAAATATACATTGCCACTAACCATGACTGAAATAACATGCATGTCGTGGGGATCATTTTGATTGGCATATCATTCCTCTGTAATGATCTATCATTCACATATAAAGAAGCAAGGAGAAGAAGAAGATATGACACAATCGAAAATCAATTTGCCTTGTTGTACTCCTCTATGGTCTGTTTCATGCCATCCAGCCGTCCTATAATCATGCCGAGCTTCTTGCAACACATCTCATTAGAAATTCTGGAATTGTAATCACATTTCTCGAATGGCCGATAATCACATGCACTTTTAATTTCCTGCCACAACATCATCTGAATCTCCTGCATTCACAATGTAAAAGAGAGCCCATTAGATATGTACGATAAAAATAATTAAAGCATTTTCAGCAACATCATGAAATATTTCTTGGAAAAATATATATTCTTACAGGGTTATCTGACATTAAACAACCCTTCGAATACAAGTGTTAGATTAACATGGCTTGTGAAGGGTCGACTCACTGAATATGTGGTTGCTTTCTACTAGAAAGTTGCTTTATATGGGTTGTGCTTGGTCATTAAGTAAAGGCACATGTCAAATTATATCTAAAAGATGAAGTAAACTTTTGTCATCTTTATAAAGACATAGCAGAAACTTTTACTAAAGAACAAGAACATATGTACTAATTTTGTTTGAAATACCCTTCTACTTTTGTGAGATATTCAAATGTATCCCCACTTAATACTTAAGCTACTTGTATAAAGCAACTTTTTACAAAATAGCAACCACTTTTTCATAAATACAATCCCCACCCCTTTCTAACCTTAAGCTTTGTAATTTGAGGATTCTGAAGTGTGCGCACACACACACATACACACACTTATAGGAAAACATTTATATAGGCAATCAATCTTATACTATTAAAGTAAGGAGGACCTCAAAAACCCAACAGATAATTTTCTTCAGATGCTGGAAAATCTCCAATAGATTATCTTGACCTCGAAGTGTATGGATAAGGGGAAAAAACAGATTCAAGTCCTACAAATGGTGCAACACATTATTTGGATTGTCCATTTTCAAAATTTTCAAGTGTTTATATATCTGCTCAATCTGCACTATTTTGGAACTTTGAATTTCACAATTAAAAATGAAATTAGATTTTCAGGCTATCGCAAGGGCTTCCAGAACTGAAACTGCATCTTCAAGCAAGGTTTGTAGGTGCGCCTTATTTTGATTGTTTAAGGTTGACACCTTATATAAGCTGCACCCATATGTGTGTGTGTGTGTTAAGGGTTCAGATTTTATGTTTCTTTTTATGGGCATTAATTGGTATGAGAGCCATGTTAGGGCTCTTCAATCGTTTCAGCTTTGTAATTTCCCGTTTTAGGGGGTTTACTTAGGGCATCTCCATTATGGTCGATGAGAAGCAAAACTTTTGTCCCTTTCTCCTCATCTTCTAGCTGTCATTGAGGATGGGACCAGAAAGAGTTCGCGAGACCAACTCATCCTGGCAGGGTGCTCTAAAAAAGAGCCCCTCCAAGAAGTGGCTTTTTGGAAATTAAATCGAGAAAGACCCTGGCAAAATGAAAACCATTGTCTACAACCCCAAGGGCTTATTTCAAGCCTCCGGATTCAAATCCATTGATAATGTAGAGGAAGTAGTGTCCGAGGTATCTGAAAACTCGGAGAGTCCTTATCGAACTAATTGTTGATACCAGAAAGCTAAGAAAATTCATGGAGAAGGGCATAAGATTCATCTATATCGGGAGATTGGAAGTAGTAGTTAACCCTTAACCAGGGAAAACCTAAACATTTCTGAACTTGTCAATGCTCAACAGCTAGCATACCCTTTTTGATGCAGCCTTAATTGGAGCAATCAAAGCCTCTCCAGCCAAGGCAAGATTCATCTCTTTATATCCTCGAACTTTACCATCTCATTGACAAACCAACACCTAAACCAGGTCCTGAGGCACAACAGGGCTTTGATGGCTCTGATTGCCATCACTTGGAAAATTACATACTGAGCCATAAACACATATACACCTACACCTAGGACTATTGTCTGATTTGAGGGAATATATATGGAGGAAGATATTGAGGATCAGATAATGATCCCTCAAAGAATAAATCCTTCTAAGGTCAGTATTCCTTGGGCATGGACTCTCGAGCATCAATCCGCAAAGGTCCTTGAGCCTCCCCGAGCGAGTATCAGCTCCAGCAGGCCAGGTCAGATCTCCATTGACTTTGGCCAGAGTATGAGGGCCCCAGCCTCCTCCTATTCTCCAAAGAAACGTTGCAACATGAGAAGTCGACGCGGGCCATACTCTCGCGCATCTTCCGTACCTTCCCATGCCTCTCAAAACTATGGAAAGATCTAGAGGTCATGGCTGCTCTTCGTGAGCATTACCTTTAGGATCCCCGAAAACAACGGTGGCTAAAAGAGTACATTCAGTCCCAAAGAGTAGAACTTTGAGAGTGATGGATCAAAGATCTCAAAATGGGACAAGAGGTTATCCTCCTAGACTTCATTATGGAAGGCTAATAGTGCATAACTCCTTTGCCACTTCTGAGGAAGTGGATTGACTGTGGAAGATTATTTAAACGATGCTCGCAGAAGACTTTGGCTCAGCCAATTCAAAGAATATGAAAGGTCACTCATAGACCATCTTCGGAAAGCATATAGCAGCAGCAAGAAGGTCTAACTTGACTTCGGCATGTGGAGAAGAACTTGAAGTCTCCTCTTTTCCACCATTCGAATGAAAAGCAGGTTGCTGTCCCAATGTTCCGTCTGAAGCCCACTCAAGCCAAACCCTCCTTCATTAACAGTTGAATTGAACCAACACCGTACTGCATGCCATTAACCTTAAGTATTGGAGAGGATCTGGGGGATCAAGTCGAGAAGCTAGTCTATTTGGTCGACAACCTTCTAATGACTCATGCCTAAGTCTCTCCCAAGCCCAAGATGGCCCAAAAGATGCAAAATTCGTTCTCGTCTGAGCCTCAGACAGCATAAGGCAACATATCTCCACAAACTTCAGCCTTTCTGCAAGCAAAGACGGGGACTAGATCCCCCAAGATTGAAGAGAACCAGTACAACTGCAGACAGAAAATTCAAGGGTAACTATGAGATAATTACCAGAAAACACTTTTATGCCTCCATACGAGTGGGAGCCATGCACGGAGGATAATCTGATGATGAGACTACCAAACTCTTTTCAGAAGAGTGTGACCCAGATGATGGTAGCAGCTATTTTTCCAGGTTCCAGAGCAGTTGCTTCAATGGGTGCCAACGATTCATTCAAGCACTCCAGAGGAAACCAGCCAAAGTCAGGCGCATGCCCTGACTTACAAAGTCCCCCATTCTATTCCCAGGGGCTTCATCAGTAGATGGCCAAAGCTCGGAGCAAATAACCAAAATGCTAAGTCTAATGGTTGCAAACACTAATGCTAGGCTCAAATTGAGACATTCTATATGATAGCCCAAGGTTTCATAGGAAATCCATGATGTTGGTGGTATCAGTTTGACAAATGTGGTGAGGAGGAGATAAAAGCCTTGGTGAGAGTGGAAGTGGACAGGACCATCGAAAGAGATGCATTCGGTAGTCAAATTCCCAATCCTATTAAAAAGAATTCTAGAAAGCACTCAGAGATACATCTAGAAGTGGGTTAATACTAATGGGTCAAGCAAAGTGACTGTCAAGGCACTCCACCTAAGCTGGAAACCGTGACCCAAAACTATCTTCTCAAACCAACACAACAGGAACCATGATCCATAGTCATGCGCAAGGGCTCATGATTGGCCTATTAAAGCTAGCCAATAAATAGTAGAACCACGATTCCAATATGTGGATTATAGGTTCCCCCTTAAGAGCAAGTCAGATGCGCGTATCACTATAGTGCAAGGGGACCTCTCTCTATACACATGTACATGTATCCCTCTGCAGGGATGCTTCTTAGTATGCAACTGTCATACGTAAATGTCGTGCAGAGGTCTGTTGAGGATTTTGGCCCTCTCTCTTACAGATCTACAACCGCACACAAGAAACCACAAAGTTCTCTTGGCATACAAACCATTCTTTAGGCATCTCTCCGACCTCAAAAAGGGATGAACCTGTAGGAATCCTCAACGGTGGTGCCTATGCCTAAGGGAAAGAGTTTTGGAAATGACCCGAGCCACAAACAGCCTAACCCTGGGTCAATCAACCAATCATATACTCCCATTGAAGTGTACAATTCACTATATTTATTATATTTATATGCTCTCACGAGCTTTAAAAGCCACAACCACTTGGCCTTTGAAGCTTGTACAATCACCTTGTCTCACTCTCTTTCAAGCCCATCTCATGTACATGCTTGGCAAACACATTTACCACACTAATGCTTTGGTCAAGGATCTACCAACATAGCCTCTGTCAAGAGATAAGCAAACTCGATCTCTCCTACTTGGATCTCGTTGCGTATGTAATAGTCCGCCTTTATATGCCTGGTTTTTTTACGAAGTTGTGGCTCCTTAGCCACACAAATCGCAGCCAGGTTGTAGCAGAAGATCCTCACACACAAGGATTTACTGGATCAAATCTATGCTAATTTAGGAACTTCTTCAACCAGAGAGCTTTCTTTGTTGCGAGACAACAAGCCACATACTCTAAGTCTCTAACTCCAAAGTAAAGAGCACAACGACAGTTTGTTTCCTTGAGCACCAAGAAATGGCTACACTGGCAAGTGTGAAGATATATTCGATGTGGACTTCATTTCATCTAGATCTCCCTAATAATCCACATCTGAATATCCCTATATCTGAATATCTGAGCCTCCTTCATAAGTGAGGATGAGATTAACAGTTCCCTTCAAATATGACATAACTCTTTTATTACCTTCTAGAGCTCCATGCCTGGATTACCCTAGAACCTGCTACTCATACATATAACAAATGATAAGTTTGGTCTCATCCCCAACATAGAACACTTTTGTATGGGATTCTCTGCAATGGCTTCTTTTTCTTCTGTACTCATGGGACATATGGCTAGGCTTAACTTGGTCTTCTTATCAACATGGATATGGACCTACAATTTTCCATCTCAAATCTTACTCTCTTTTTTTTTTTTTTGTCAATATGCCTCATGAGATAATTGAATGGTTCTCTCTTCTATTTCTCATAAGCTTAATTCCTAGCACATATGAAGCCTCTCCAAGAGCTTTCATATCAAAGTGTTGTGAGAAGAACGCTTTTGCTTCAAAACGAGTCATTGAACTACTGGCAATTAGCATCCACACACAGGGAGGTGAACACATCACTCCAATTCACGTTGACATATATACAATAATCCTCCTTGTTAGGCAAAAACCAGCTTTTGGCAAGGTCTCTTGAAATTTTATGTACCACCCCCTCGATGCTTGTTTTAGGCCGCAAAGGGATTTCTTAAAGTTTACATAGTAGTTTTTCCTTCCCTTCTCTATGCAGCCATCTAACCACCTATGCCCTGCAGTATGGAAACCAACTGACCTTTCTCCATGTTATATAACCCCCAATTAAGAGTCACACAAGGTAGGTTGAGAAGATACAGAGGGGAACAAGTGTTGCTTGCTGGATTCTGCACTAAGTAAACCAAACCCCCCCCCCACCCCTCCAAACCAAAAGAAAAAAAAAACCAAAATGCCTCTGTTACCAAAATGCTCCAGGCAGAAAATTAGAGAAAAAAGACACTCCTGAAATCAGAAACCCTGACACTCGAATGCAAAACCCCAAAATCCAAGTAAAATCTGTAGACTCTTGTCAGGGTTGAATTGTCCTTTTTTCTTCCGGAAATGGTATGCCTTGCTTATACTTATCCCCCATCCAAGCCACAAAACAAGTACATATACCGTCCATGCATCTTGAACCTAATAGTTATTTTGAATGAAGGCGCATAGACCATTATTGGATTGAGACTGGTGTAACCTTCCATTTTACATTAAGAAGCCACTGGAGAACTTTTATCTCAGAATTCCAATGTATTGGTCAGCCTGCAACTACATTTTGCTATATACCATCTTGACTTTCAGAACTATGTTCATACATGCTAATTTCATCCCTTTACTAATTATCACTATCAGATGGAATTCCTTCATGACCTTATTCAGATCAGCATTCCTAAATGAATGCCATGCAATAAAATTATCGAACTATGGAGGCTTACCTCTAACAAGTCTCAAGACCACACCACTTATGTCTTGCTCCTCATAGGGTATTTATTCACATAGCAGAAGATATTAGAGAGTCAAAAGAACTTTACTCGAAAGAAATTATTGGCAATTGCTCCTTGTCCATTCTGACATAGTTCATAAGGTTTGGTGGCGTATTGCCTTGCTCTTTCGTGAAGAAGAAAGTATCCTAGTCTCTTTCCTAAAGCCAATTTGGAGTATTTTTTCACCTCTCATTAATTTCTTCTGGGAAAACTACAGTCAAACTTTTTCTTCAGACTCATGCTGCCCATTCCTCTGATCTTTGAAAAATTAATAGTTCTCACAAATGTGAACCTCCAAATCCCCAAGTATCTCTATCCAGTGAGCTGGTCTTCAACAAATAAACTTTTAGCCACATTTGAACTTTATCCTTCCCTCCATCTAGAAGCTCCAATACCAAATCCCAGCAACCACATCAGAAACTAAGTCATCTCATTCTGACCATGTTCATTTACCAAAACCTACATGCTTCTACGATTAAAAAGTGATCTAACTCATCCTCACTTGTTTCATTCTGTATTTAAACCAAGGAAATTGGTTCTACCATGTGGAAGCTGATCAAAATGCTCAATTCACAAACTCCAAGATTTGATCCTTGCTTGATGTAGGGTCCTCTTTTCTAGGATGAAAACCCATTAGAGTTAAACCACTTCCAAGGCACCATTAAATCTCTCATTTAGACTAGACTTCAAACAAATTTCCTGGTATTTCTCCTTAAATGCTATTATGATTAGCATTTTGCACCATTATCATCAATGACCAAAGCCATCCTCCAAGGAAGGAAATGATGGTGACACAGGAAAAAACGTAAGCACTCTTTCTCGAGTACCTTCGTGAACCCCATAGGAGACACCTCTCGATGGAAAAGAAGTGCAATCACTGCAAAAAAATTAAACTTAGAACCCATGAATCAAAAGGCTTGAACTCAGTTTCCATGGTGAATTTGGTTATTTGACAAAGAATCCCACAGAATTCTTTAATGTTGTACATGTGAGGGGAATTTTGGTCAACATGAAGGGTATTTTGGTCATCGAACACTGTGTATTATATTTATCTTTCATCAGTTCCTTTCTTGTCGCTTGCTACCATTGTCCTGCTCATTTTCACATATATTCAAGGCTGTGTGACAAGGACACGAATACGACAATCCATGTCTAAGTCAGATTCAAAAAAATCTGACCCATCACCTATATTTTGGCAATGATAGTATGACACACCAACACAAGTCCATACATCACTTACATGTCTATATATTCAGATAGATAATTAATTTATAACTTCAAATCAAACATGTTTCTTTATAGTACACTTTTATTTTTCTACATTTCTAGATATGTGCAATGTTTTGATGTGCTATTGTTCTAACCACTTCCCGGTTGGGTGTGGTAATGGTCATTCCCGAATAGCATAAGGATTTCTATCTTATGTGGCAGCTTCAATTAATGAAATGAAAAATAAACACGAGGTTTTAAATAGAAGGTCTACATAAGGGAAGGCAGCCTACACAGTGGAAGAAGCAAACATCCATAGAAGATGAAGAAGTTTAGACATTAACTATCTAACGAAAAGAAAGACATGAAGGAATCATGAAAGATGAGGACAGACGCAGAGGTGAATCTTAGGAAGTACATCATTACAAGCATAATAAGTTTTGGGTGCAGCAACAACTCCTGCACCAAACCACCTTGCTTGGGACAATGGTAAAACAGCCCTTTCTTAGTTTTTCCCTAGAAGAAGCGATTCAGATATAAATGGGACTGATATTCTGCAGATATTGACGCCACACCAAGCACCCAATTATGTAGGCCTTGCATATAAAGCCACTATATCTGCAACTTACACTCCATTCCAAACATGCCGTAAATATACACAAAATATAACTTTTCATGGTACCTATATTTGATGCCCTCCGACTGATTGATGAAAAAAAAAAAAGGGTCCATGCCCTTAGAGTTAACCAGTCAATAAACTAGTAACTATTTCCGTTACAAATACTAACTCGTCTTGTTCAAAGGAAATACACCTCATGAGGCAAGAAGGTAGATGCCAATAAGAAGCTAATCAACACAATCAAACCATGCAAGCCATTAAGGGAATGTTCTATTCAATAAAAATAGAATGTGTCTTTCTATTGCTCTTGTAAGTTCAAGAACTCATGCCATCAAAGTTGAATGCATGACACGTGATACCAATTCTACTTATAAACATGCCGAACTTGGTGTACATTTATGCCAATTCTACTTAAAATATGCTGAACCAGGTGTACATTTATCACATTAAGAGGAAGACACATTCACTTTCTAGAGACATAATATGAGAGAAAGATCATCATTTTCTTCAAATCAGAATGATAGGATGGATAAATTGCATTTTTCTAGAGTCAACACAAATCTAAATCAATTACTTGATGACCAATACAATAGAATGCAGAAACTTTCAACAAGTTCATTATAAATTACTTTGCAACTTGTTATGGCAACTACAGGGAAACCAATAATACGTTGAACAAACGATGCACAACAAATCCAGCCGTAAGAGCTCTACATCACTGTTAGACATATTACAACAATAAACAAAAGCGAAAATCAAAACTAAGATGAATTGCAGAATTCATGTGCTCACATAAACTTGCATAACAATGATTCATAGATCTCACTTTCAAAGGATAGTCTGAAAGAAAACAACAAAAGAGTATACTAAAAAAAGGTAGATACTAAATATCTAAAAAGCAAATACGTGTTTCACCTTAATGGATTGCATGAACTCCGGGCAATAATTATTAAGAACTTCCATTCTGGGACCTGTTCCATTTGCCAATTCCTCCATTACTCCACCAGCAAGCTCTAAAACACGAACTATCCTCTGAAAATTAAGTGAACAAAGACTCAAGATTTAAGCCACCATTTTAGAAAACCAAAACATCACATTATAAGATGTGACCAAAGGAGAGGTGAAAGAATGTTTCATGAATAATAACACTCTCTCCTCTTTCCAATCAAAGGGAAATACCTTTTCGACTTGATGAAGCAGCTGCAATGAGGCATTAGGAACATCATTTGTATCCATTTGACCAAACTAGAAACAGAATGCGTAATTTTTTCTCTTTTATTTGTATGCACCTGCATGAAACATTCATAATCAAGGACTTTGGATCATCAGTTATATCCCTATGCCCTAAAATGAGAGAGCTCCTGTTCGAATTGGGGAAGATCAGAAAACAAGTTCCAAGGTCGATGGGCTCTAATTCACGGTAAAACAAAACTTCACCTCTCGAGGTGGGGGGAACTTTTATTTTCAGACGCGAACCCTCTATTAACTATTCACAACTTACGATATATATTATATTATATAATAATTTATTTATATATTAAATAATATATTTAAAATATAAATTATATTTTAATAATATTTAATATATGATATATATTTATGTAATATAATATATTTATGAGCGGTGACCCTGCAGAACCCTACCTCAAATAGCGGTGATCTTATTGGACCCTACCTCAAATAGAGGTGATTCTCACTAGACCCTGCCTCAAATAGTGGTGATTCTTACTAGACCCTCGCCTCTCTCCCTTACCGCATCTCTCCTCTCTCTCTCTCTCTCCCTCGCAACCTCTGTCCTCTTTCCCTCACGGCCTCTCTCTTCTCTTTCCCTCAATATAAGCCAACAATGATGTGGACCAGCTGACAAGTTTTGGTGTTAGAGATTTTTTGTGGAGCAGTCATACTCATTTGATAGTCATTTAGTGAATCCTTGGAGTTCAGAAGGTTAGATTGAATATTTGGCAAGATCCGGTTTCTTTCTCATCTTGCTACTTCATTCATCTTGTTCTATGGTCTTTTAATTTCTCTGTATTAGCCATTGATAATGGTCTCTGTATTAGCCATTGATAATGGTATTTGAGTTGAGAGGTCTTTATGGTTTAGAGTGTTTGTGGACATCCATGGCCCAAGCTTTGGGTACAAGGAGAGGAAGAGAAAAATAGTGTACAATGTTTGTAAGGAATTGTGGGATAACATATTGGCCCGGTCAACTGCTGCACCAGACCTCAAAACAGAATATAATGAAATTCTGAAAGTTCTACAATAGGAGGAGGGGAACTCTGAAGGTTCTGTTGCCATGGCAGATCAACATACTTAAATGCTGCCTTTAATAATATGAACTTCCTGTCTTGATTCCTTCTCGGCCCCCTGGATTTTTCTCTGTGCCTTGAATAGCACACCCTTCCCCAAAAGTCCTATAGACGGCCCCAAACTTTTTTCAAAAGTCCTACATCCCACACCCTCCATCCAATTTCAAGCAGATTGAATCTATTTATACATAACAACCCTCGTTTTTGCTCGAAATTCCCGACCATAAAATTTGGCCCTTCCTCTCTCTCTAAGGCTGAAGTGGCTAACCAGTCTGAACTCTATGTGTGTGTACGTATGGGCGTGTGCAAAACACACAAGTCAGAAATTTTCTAACCGATTGGGTTACGGCAAGAAGTGCGATGTTCTGATGTTCAGCTAACTTTAATAAAATTGATCAATTTACAGTCCATGAACGGATCAATTTACAGCCCATGAACAGAGTTTACTTGGCCTGGAATATGGTAAATTAAAATACACAAGCTCTCTAATACTGGACGCGAATTGGAGCAAAATAATGCAAACTTGTAACCAAAACTGAGCGAGAAATGCAAAATTTGAGCCGAGTACAAGAAAGCATTTGTAATTTCCTGTCCAAAATTACAACCGGAGACAATTGAAAGAAGAAGAGTAGGCACAAGAAGAATGGGAAGAAATTAAAATGGGGTGGATTACAAACCATAAGAAACAATGGAGTATACTAGACAAAACCCATCAAAAGTATCGAAAAAATTATGAAAAATCCTATCATAACCTCATTAACAATCATGTAGATTTTGACAACTCCCAATTTATACATTTTTGCCCATTTATGAATACAAGTAGTCAATTTATCAAATAAAAATAGCTTATCCAAACCCATAAAAAACTGCCCAATCTAGTTAAAGAAAAGGAATAGTTCAACAAATTTTGTTCACCTCGGATATGAGAAAATTTTCTGAACGCTTTGAATCTTGTGGGTTTTGGTAACAATTTACTCTCTAGAGTTCAGCTACCATGGATTTTTTGGTGCTACCGATTCTCTCCATGAAGAAGAGGGAGAGACAGAATGAGAGGTGGTAGCCGCCATGAACAAACCAGAGCGAGGAGAGAGGCCGTGAGGGAGTGAGGAGAGAGGCCGTGAGGGTGAAGGAGAGGGAGAGAGAGAAGTGCTGGGGACCAGCAAATCAGGGTGGTTTTGCATGGGCAATCTTGAGAGAGAGAGGGAAATAGGGATAGGTTGGGTATAGGCCTATGCCACTATGTGTTAGGGTCTTTGTGGGGAGAGAGAAAGACAGGTGAAATTTAAATTTGAGTCATTTTCACTCGAGATTAGAACCATAGGATCAACGGTGATCCTTAGGGGCCTCATGCCACTATTTGTGGCAGAGTCCTATAAAATCAATTTCCTATATTTATATAATATCTGTTTTATTTATGTAATAGATATTTCTATATAATACAAATATACATTAATAAAATAAATATAAAATGTGTTTTATAGATTTATTATATTATTACAATATAGATTTATTATATTATAAATAACATATAATATTTATATTATATTATAGTATAATAAATATATATGTATATATATATATAATATAAT